GATTTTATTTATTTATTTGACAGAGAGAGACACAGCGAGAGAGGGAACACAAGCAGGGGGAGTGGGAGAGGGAGAAGCAGGCTTCCCAAAGAGCAGGGAGCCCGATGTGGGGCTTGATCCCAGGACCCTGGGATCCTGACCTGAGCCGAAAGCAGACGCCCAACGACTGAGCCACCCAGGTGCCCCAGTATTATTTTTTTTTAAGATTTTTTTTTAAAATTTTATTGTTTAAATTTTAAAACTTTTTTTTAAGTAATGTCTACACCCAGTGTGGGGCTTGAACTCACCACCCCGAGATCAAGAGTCGCACGCTCCACCGACTGAACCAGTCGGGTGCCCCTTTATGTATTCTTAATATTAACCTCTTGTTCAATGTACAGTTTGCAAGTATTTCTCACCTCTTGTAGGCTACCTTTTCACCCCGTTGTTTCCTCTCTTCTGCAGAAGTTTTGAAGTTTGATGTAGTCCCATTTGTCTATTTTTGCTTTTGTTAGCTAGCTGCTTTTGGTGTCATATCCAAGAAATCATTGCGTATTACAATGTCATGATTTCCCCCTATCTCCTCTTCTAGGAGTTTTATGGTTTTAGGTCTTATGTTTAGGATTTTAATCCATTTTGAATTGATTTTTGTTTGCGGTGTAAGGTCTGGGTCCCACTTCTTCTGCGTGTGGATGTCCAGTTTTCCCAATACCATTTGTTGAGGAGACTGTCTTTCCCCATTGTGTAGTCTTGGCAACCTTATTGGAAATCATTTGACCACGTAAGTAAGGCTTTATTTTTGGGCTCTTCATTCCATTCCATTAGTCTGTATGTCTGTCTTTATGCCACTTCCATAGTGTTTTGATTACTGTAGTTTTGTGATATGTTTTAAAATCAGAATGTGTGAGGCCTCTAGCTTTGTTCCTCTATCTCAAGATTTTTTTGGCTACCTGGGGTCCTTTGAGATTCAATATGAATTTTAGGATAGTTTTTTTCTATTTCTGCCAAAAAAAAAAAACACCTTTAGGATTTTGATAGGGATGCATTTAATCAGTAGATCACTTTGGGTAAGACCGACATTTCAACAATATGAAGTCTTCCAATCCATGAACATAGGGCTTCTTTCTATTCATCTCTTCTTGCTTTCAGCAGTGTGTTCTGTAGTTTTCAGCAGAGGAGTCTTTGGCCTGCTTGGCTAATTCCTAGTTATATTACTCTTTTTGATGCTGTTGTAAATGAGATTATTTTCTTAATTTTCTTTTTGGACTGTTCAGTGCTAGTGTATAGAAACACAACTGATTTTTGAGTGTTGATTCTGTGCCAGCAACTTTGCTGAATGTATTAGTTTCTTTAGGGTTTTGTACGTATAAGATCATGTTGCCTGGAAACAGGTAACTACTTCTTCCTTTCCCGTTTGGATGTCTTTTATTTCTTTTCATTGCCTAATTGCTGTGGCTAGGACTTCCAGAACTTTGTTGAACAGAAGTGGTGAGAGGGGGTGTCCTTGCTCTGTTCCCAGTCTTAGAGGAAAAGCTCTCAGTTTTTCACTGTTGAGTATGATGTTAGCTGTGGGTTTTCATATATTTATTTATTTGACAGAGAGAGACACAGTGAGAGAGGGAACACAAGCAGGGGGAGTGGGAGAGGGAGAAGCAGGCTCCCCGTGAGCAAGGAGCCCGAAGTGGGGCTCGATGCCAGGACCCTGGGATCATGACCCGAGCCAAAAGCAGACGCTTAACGACTGAGCCACCCAGGTGCCCCAGGGTATTGAATTTTGTCAAATGTTTTTTCTACATCAATTGTGATGAGCGTGTGTTTTTTTCTTTTATTCTGTTATTGTGGTGTGTTATGTTTATTGCTTTTTTTTTTTAAGATTTTATTTATTTATTTGATAGAGAGAGAAAGAGCATAATCAGGGGGTGTGGGAGAGGGAGAAGCAGGCTCCTTGCTGAGCAGGGAGCCCGACACGGGGCTCAATTCCAGGACCCTGGGATCATGACCCGAGCTGAAGGCAGATGCCCAACTGACTGAGCCGCCCAGGCACCCCTCGTTTATTTTTCTTCGAAATTCTTTCTTTTTATTAAGACTTGATTTTTTTTAGAGCATTTTTATGTTCAGCAAAATTGAACCCACACATGCACAGCTTTCCCCATTAGTGACATCCTGGACCAGAGCCGTACCTTTTTTTTTTTTAATTAAAGATTTTATTTATTCATTTGAGACACAGAGATAGAGAGAGAGCATGAGCAGGGGGAGAGGCAGAGGCAGAGGGAGAAGCAGGC